CTACAAATATTTTGTTTGAAGGAAGTTACAAAGACCTCAACAATAATAAAATAATAGGGTGGTCTTCTTACCTTAGAATTGGACATTATTGATGACTAAGAAGACTTATCAATTACCTTCAAAAGAAACAAAGATCAGAGTATGTGGCAAATATAATTTGTTGTATCTTAGACTTCATTAATATGTTATCATTGCTTCTTATAGAACTTGTTCCTAGAAAGAAAGATAATATTACAAACATACATATTTATTTTAATAATTACCTAAATAATATAAATAAATAGAAGTAGATTAAAGTAGATAAATTTGTTAATATCTTGTAGAAAATATTCCTAAAAACTTCATAGACATAGCTTTTACTTTACATGTGTTTTAAATTGATTGGTATGTTAGAAACTTGGTTAATAAATTAGCCATGTATTACATATATTGGTAGCTTGTGGTACAAGCTAATCATGTGGCATATATATAATAAACTTACCTTACAAGCTAAAATATGCATCTTGCAAGTTAAATATATATTGAGAGTCTTATAGAACATTGTCACATAAATTTTAATTAGATAATATATATGGAAGGCAAAATAAATCCTTCTTCACTCTTGTTAATGCCTTTCTAATTATTAGTCTTGTTTTAAGATTTTGTAGTCTTCTTATCTTTAGCAATAGTCATTTTAATTTAATATTATATCATCTTTGAATAATTATCTAATCTTTTTGAGTGACATAAGAGTGTATTGATTTTTTGGTTCTTTAAGATTTATGTCCTTAATAGTTCAATAGAATCATATTTGCACTTTTAATATCTACTCAATTTTTGCCAATTCAATACTAGTTTAGATGTCAAGTATAAAGTTCTAAGAGTGTAAATTAGAATTTTTACTAAAGCTTTCTACTTTAGTAGGGTGAAAGAAGTATCATCCACATATTAAACTAATACTTGTTAGCACCCCATTGTAGAAAGTTGTATCCTCAAATGGTTCCATTTACAATCTCTTTTGTTATCATAGTATTCATTGTTTTAGATACAATTAGAAATAAATATGGAGCAAGTAGACGTCCCTATCGCACTCCTCTTGTAATTGGAATAGGAGTTGATACTGTCTTGTTCACCTTAATGCAAGTTGATGCATTCTCAAGTAAAAGTTGTACCATCTCTATGAATTCCTTTAAAAAAACTGAGTGTTGCCATAGTTGAAAATAAAAATTTTTACTCCACCATATTATATGCTTTTGAGAAATCTAACTTGAGAAATAATAAAGGCCAACATAGATGTTCAACCAATGCTATTGATTCTTGTGTGAAGAAAAGATTGTCTAGTTGATTGGTCCATACTAATGATATTCATTAGAATTGGCTGTATTTGTAATTGCAATGCTTTAGCAAATATCTTATAATTCAAGTTCAAGAGAATAATCGAGAGCCAATTAATTAATGAACCTGAAGGGCCTCACTTGTATATTAGGGCTATGATACCAGTGGTGACCTCAGGGGGGAGGCTTCTTGAGATCACGCTCTCATGTATCATTGTGGTGTGCTCCTGGCCGAACATGTCTCAGAATGCAAGGAAAAACTCCAGCACGACTCCATCCCGTCATGGTGACTTCTTGGTCATTTTTAGTAATACACAAGTTGTCTCCAGTAGTGAGATTGAAGCCTTCAACCGGTTTTGTGCTGCCAAGTCTAGCCTTGTCGTGATTGAGTTAATCGCCTTTTCTTGAGGGTCATGTGAGGCAATTGTGCCCGGGTTTGCAGTGTACAATTGAATATAATGCTCCGAACAGATAGCTAACATAGCGGCCTGATGTACATGCCCAAACTAATCTTCTAATTCTGTGATGAGAGAGGCTATTGATCGCTCACGGTTGATTCTAAAGAAGTCCCACTAGCATCTCTTTCCAGCCTGATCTATTTGATCATGCTCCGCATCATTTGTCCTTTGACTTAACGCTCTTCCATCACATTAATTTTGTCTGCGCATGTGGTCATGAGGTCTTGGAGTTGCGGATTGCCAAGATCTCCATGTATCTCTGTGACTACACTGGCAGGGCGTCTTCAGAGTGTTACTTCTCTTGTGCTGCTCCCCGGCTTTTGTAACACACCATTCTTTATAGAACTTGATACAACGCCGCATCTTGCCGAAAAAAAGGTTGGAATGGGTAGCCCACAGCCACCAAATGTGAGCCTGGACTGTCGGTTCTTGGAGGAAGGTTGGCTTCATAATATATCGTGAGGCTCGCTTGGATTCCAGGAGAAGGTGAACTTGTCACTACACTGGCAGATGGTCGGAGTGTATACTATCGCCCATGATGAGGTAGTCTTATGCTTGTAGGTCGTGACTCAGGTGCCGAGAATGTGTACACTATGTCGAGCCGGGCCATGGCTCGCATACCATCCCGTTGATGGTTATCCCAGCTGCATCTTATTTGATTCAATGCTGAAAAGTTGTCGGTAACCTGCAGACCGTGTGTTAAGCTGTTAAACAGTCGCAGTTCATAGGCAGGTGGTGCTAAGTACGTTGGAATTGTTGGCTCACTTTTTCGTGAACTTCTAGCTTCCACCAAGTATCCATCTACAGTCTCTCGGTAGACTGTGGAGTAATTCCGTCGAAAGCTCGCATCTCTCGACAGATATAAGAGGTGCGTATAGATTCAGTATTGCAACGTCCACTCCGGCTACCCCTCGGATGGGGATCCATTGCTCCTCCCCCCCCCCCCCACCCCCCATGTCCTTGAATGCCCCAACGCTGCAATTAGGTGACACAAGCGAGGTGTGACCCATGAAATAAAACACTTAAAGGAATGTTTTTTTAATGATGCATCATACTTACCCCACTACTTCACACTAGAGGAGGAAAAGCTCCATGTCTTGTGGGATGTAAAGCAATACATGCATTCAACAACAACAACAACACATTCTTCAACCATTTCTTGTTTAAAAAATCAAAAGTAAAAACTAATGAAACTAATTAAAAAATAAATAAACGTATAATAATAATAATAATAATAACAACAACAACAACAACAGATTAAGACTATTATAATGATTATAAGGATTTATTTACATGTTCCTTTAACTTGACATTTTTCTTATCCTATTCTTTAATATAATAAATGGTTTTATTGTTTGAAAGGATATTAGATTCATTTCCCAAGAGATTTTAGACCATACAAAAAAAAAAGTATGCATGCTTAAAATAACTTATGCCTTATAACTACGTTTTTAGTATCAAATAGCATATTTCTAAAATGAAGTTCAAAAAAAAAAAAAAAAAAAGAAAGTGAAAGATCATTTTGATTAAAGTGCTCCTCGTGCTATTATTCGCTGAAAATATTAATAAGTGAAATAGGGAAAATTTTAGAATTTAGATCCAACACAAGCTACACAAGCATTTAAAATCATTTCAAGGCTCTTGAAAATAGAGGAGCTAGGTTCGCAACATGGCACGTTGTAGAACGTTTGAGAATATCTACTGTGGAATATCATAACATTTCATTTGTTATTACGGACCTTGTCATTGTAATTTCCGGTGACTTGTTTTCCTTTAAATTTTCTGAGATCTGTGCAATTTCATCTGTTGCCATTAACATACAGTCACTCATGTTTAATAAATGGACAGAATTGTTTTCATTCATGTTTTGGTTTTAGAAAAAGCATTGAATTAACCTTGATTTGAAGAATATCACATCATACTTGAAGTAAAGGGAGTAGAGGTAATTAAAAAAGAAAATTAAAATTAAAATAAACTAAAATTTGACACTATTACTAAAATGAAATATAGCAACTTATTGATTGTAAAAATTCATATTTCTGGAAGCTGAATTTTTTTTTCATGCTGTTGAACTGGTACTCCTCTATTTGTTAAAGCTTCAATGCATTACAATTTATAGTACAGCATTATTTGAAATCATGTAGTTATAAAGTTCACAGGTTTTCCCAAAATTTGTATTAAGAAAAGATTGTGTTGTGTGTGTGTGTGTGTGCATATATATATATATATATATATATATGCATACGTATGTACAATGATAAATGATGTTTTCGCTCAGAAAATTAAATGTCCTGAGATAATATCCATTTTTAAGTCACCAGTTTGACATTATCCAAAAGTTTCACATATTAGACATCAGAAAGGATATACTTTGAGCCATGAAAATTCAATTTTTTTATTCTTATTTTTACTACTGACTAATAAGTATTCAAAATATTAACATAGTATCAAGAATTAAATTACTTTCAAAATCTAACATTCTTTAACTGTAAGGACATATCAAAAAAGTACAATTCATCTGTATTGTTTAGCGAAATGAACTAGAAGCTTGAAACACAACAACCTTAGATGTGTGGTTTTCAAAACACCACTATTAACTGCGATTCACAGATTTAGAAGATAAAATTATGTGACATGTTTTAATAAAACATAATATTTCAATTCAATTTATGATTATCTGTAGTGAACCTCCTTCCAAAGATTATAAGTAACACTGAAAATCACAACCAAGATTTACGACATTTCAATATGAGAAAAGAATCATGCAAATTATTTATAATAAACAAAATGCGTAAATCTGAGATACAAAGCTTGTGTAGACTTTACTCTGAAAATGCCCAAAATATGTTAACGAAACTTTAAGAAATTCCAGAAACAGCGGTGGGTAGTGACAGCAAGGTGACAAGACATTTTTTTAAAATAAATTGAGCCATATATGCAGCGAGAGATGAATTCTAAACTTAAATTGTGATATGACTGTTGAAAATGAATATGCTTTTTGAGTTGCATGTAAATATAAAAAATTGTAAGACTTACTTTTCTGCGGGTAGCTGTGACTGGCAATCTGTTCCTTTAAGATTAGAGAGAGGGACGACTACTCCGGCATTACTGCCACTCCTCCACCTTGTAAAGCAACTCAATTCTTCCTCTTCCAACCCTGGAAATTGTGTGTGTGTGCGCGTGCACGACAGAGGGAATATCATAAAACTTAAAAAACAAAAAACAATGCTTCGGAGGAAAGCATTAACTTGACATTTTATTTTCACTGCGCACAATGAAGGAAACAGCGAAGGCCCAACTGGAGACAGTGGGACACTGACAGATTCTGACGCCTCATCCACACATTAAACCCCTTTCAGCGCAATCTTCTTCTTCATAGTAAGATTCTTAACATCAGATGCAATTGCTCTTTTGTTCAGTCTTTGGATTTCTAAATTGTGTACGTTCCTGGCTGACCTACTACTTGGTCAGCAGCCTTCAAAGACCCGACATCACTCCATGTGGACTTAAAGTTGCTTTCCACATACTTACAGTAATCACACAAGACGGCAAGGTAGCTCACATGTGTCGAAAACTCTGAATCCCACACCCACAATTCTTTTGCATGGCCAGTGCTGCTGCTGCTATTTTTGACACACTCACTCACTCTCACTATCTCGAAACGCAGACAAACAAGTCATCTATCTGTGCCTGCCTGGCTCCCTCACAATTAATGAGTTGGCACCTCCTCCAGCGGGTGCCTTCCAAGTGAGAACAAACTTTATTGCCTCGCCTTTCAAAAGCACATCGCCTTTGAGGTGAGAGAGTATTTGAACCCTATCACGTCCAATTCGGGTCCCAAATCATCCTTGTCCACTTTCACCACATGTTTGTGTTTGCGGCACTGTTTGAATTTCAAGAAACATTGATTTTTATGTTAGCACAGATGGGCAAGCAAATAAAGAAATGAATTTAAAGCATACAAGAGAAAGCCCAGCCCGAAATTAGCTTTTTGCTTCTTCTTCTTCTTCTTCTTCTTGAATGTGCTATGAATCAAAAAATCCTAAAACGCAATTGTATAAATAATATTCATCTCAAATGTGGTCACCATCCGAGCATTTATGTGATTTGAACACCCGTCTTCTGAATTTTCTATTCCGAGGAAGCATTCTAGTCGCAATCCAAAACGCTTGTGATTTTTCCTCGAGGTATTCAACTTCTGAAACAATGAAGGACAATCTCACATAAATATCAACTTCGACATAGTCATTTCATTTAAGTGGCTTCACTTTTATTTAGAGAATATACATACATACATACATACATACATACATACATATATACATACATATATTGTTTGTTTGTTTAAATTATTATCAATGAAAATTTGATGAGTATGGAAATGCAATCGTATAATGTAAGACATTTATTTTGATGTACAATCAAGATACAAACATGTCAAGATGGGAGCTATGGAAGTTTCAAGGCACCCGAAACTGTTTCGCGGTTGACACAATACGTGGACGTAGAAGGGCCTTCGATCGATTTTAATTAATTAGATGTTACATTTTTCTTCGACGAGAGGCGGAAGGCCAATCAGGAACTCACATATCTAGCCTCCAACGATGGAACGGAGATGGCAATCATCATCATCATCGAAAACGTGTGAAGAAGAAGAAGCGCAGAGGTGCCCCCCATACCAGTGCCGAAGGAGGAGGAGGGATAGCCAGAAAGCAATCCCGTAGAACAAAGACGGAATTGAAGGAAGGAAGGAGAAGGAAAGACAAGGAAGGACAAGGAAAAGGAAGAACAACAGAAGGGCCACAACGTCCACGACAGGGAGGGCATGGGAAAAGGACCTGCTAAATAGCCTTCTTCAGTAGGAGCCCCCAAACAGACAGACTGGCACCACCTCCTCCTCTTCCCCCCCTACCCCACTCCCTCCCTCCCCCACTAACCCCTCATCCATCGTTCACGGCACCTAGCTGGCTGGGCTGGGCTGGCTGTTTGGCCAGCTGGCTAGGTTTATCGGTCGCCTCCCACAACCAAAAGTCGTGTCTGGCCCACGTCCTGACTGGTAATCGAAAGTGAGAAAGAAAACGAATGTCAATCACAGTGGTGCTGTGTTACGCTTCGTGAGAACAGCGCAGGCGGCGAGTCTGTTTTTGGAGCGCTGTTTGCAGTCAGTTTCGGATGCTATCGGTATTGCATTTGATTTTCCGCTTCCCTTCTCTGGTGTTATCAAGTTCTGTGGATTCGGTGACTTCTGTGCATGCATGCATGCATGTTTGATTGTATTAGCGATTTGTTCTTTTCTAGGCGTCTGCTCTCTCGACATAGTGTTGACGGGATGTGATTGTTTTTTGTTTTTTGTTTGTGTTGTGCGCGCAAGTTGATGTTGGGAGAGGCCGAACGGCGAGTGCAGGGCAATGTAGCGTAGGATGCGCGTTTATTACGCTATATTTTATCGGGTTTGGGATGCCCAGTTTGTTTTGTGAGCGAAGTAGCATTGCTCACAAGTCAATGCCAGCGAGTCCGAAATAGGTGCAGGATTTTTGTTCATGTGTTACTAGTCTTGCTTCTTTGGCATGGAGTAATATTCTTCGACACGATCGATTTGCTGGTCTGCCAGTGTTTTCATTTTCTGAAAGTGTGATGGCTGTTACATACCTTTCTTCTTCGAGTTACTATGGCCTCGACCTCTCGCGAATCATAGTCTTGAGATCAACGTGATTATTAACACACGCGTTTGGTATTTGTAGCCCTGGATTGGCCACATTTTCCAGTGTGCCTAGTACGGCCGTGTTAGGTTGACTTCGGCTTTGTTCATGTGGTACTGAATTTCTAGGTTTCATGCATTAAAGATTCCTCGACGCTGTGATACTTACATCCGACCGGGTAGGCATTACTTGAACATGTACATTATGACTGAAATTGATCCGGACAGGCACTGTCGCGTCTAGGTTTTCCCGCATTATTTGCAAAATCTCTGAAGTTCAACTTCTAATTTATATCTTTTCGTTCTTTGCAATTACTCGACTATTTCTATTCCTCAGAAGCATAATTGTTAAAATATTGTCTATGGAGCTGACGATGTTGAAGCTACATGGCTTTCCTCTCCTTAATTTCTACCCTATTCGAGTGGTTGTCGCAGAGTTTTAACTATTATCAATTTTATGTAGAGGAGAGTTTTCGTTTTTCTCACGGTTCTAGTGCCACCCGCATTGTTATTGATGCGCTACTTAAACCTCGTCTGAATAACTCTTCTATGTGTACTGGTATCTCATACTCATAGAAATGATGTTAGAGGAAGCCGTTTTCAATAATAAGTAAAGTGATTCGCATACTGTGTACTTGCAATGCCTTTGGGCGAATAGTGAAGTTGGAATAGATTATCATGCCTGAAATGTTACGGAACACTAGTCTTTCATAATCGATGATGACTCTAATCTTTACATATTACAACGAGAGCAAGCATTCACACTTCTGAGCTGTGGCGTGTTATCTGTATCAGATACCGAGACGTGCTGGACGTTGTGAAATTCGGGAATAACAGGGAAGTGGGTATGCTATCTATATCTGCTGGAAAACTTTGATTTATGATACTGAGCCTTACATCACCCAAGACTCTTCCAACTGCTTAGTGTCTACTCTGCCCCTACTCTATCCTCCCTGGATTTCACCATCTATTGTAACTCTCCGAACGCGGCTTGATTACTTGGTATCAATCATACAGTTGAATTCAGTATCTGTGGGGACTGAAGCATCATGGCAGCCAGAGAGTTTTGTCAGTAATTCTCATGCAGATCATGAAGTTCTTCGAAATTGAAGCAGCCACCCAAGAAAAGAGCTGTACATCTTAGAATCATTGTCCTTTTTGAGTGATCGTCGGAGGTTTTTGTTCCGATTTTCTTCCATTTTGCAAATGCAAATAAGTTCGCGTGAGGTCCTAGGGCGAATCACCGGCAGGATGGGATCACGGACGTGTACTCTCCTCCGTGCGGTGTTGGTCTTCTCATTAGCGATAAGTGTAGTGACTGGGATAGTTCCGGAAACTAGCGCGTCTGAAGCAGAGGATCAACCCACTTTTCTTCGTCATTTTTGGTCTACTTCTGATAAGCACCACTACAAGTTGTCTGAGGGTGGCGAAGTTGCTGAACTTGTTCTGGACCAGAAAGCAGGTAAATTAACGGCGACCACAGAATTGTACTGTATGCTGCTGGGCAGAGTTGATGGCTCTTTTCTTGTCACATAAATGCTAAACTAGAATCGTGTTGTGTCGATGGGTTTCTGTGGTCAACTTCTGGAATTTATCAACTTTTTCCAGCACGGAGTTTTAACTCATGTATTTAATCCGTCTTTCAACTGGTCTTTGCCTCGATTCGTATCCATTGATTTTAATAAGTGTCGTTTCTCTTGTTTGTTTTCAGCTGCTGGTTTTGCATCTAAGACGAGATACCTGTTTGGGCGCTTTAGCGTTCAAATGAAGGTTCATCCAGGCGATTCGGCAGGCACCGTGAGCACGTTCTATGTGAGTCACCTTGAACGGTTTGCCTTTTGTGTTTCATCAGGTCATTAACGGTCTTTTATCCGAATTTCACATGAGTCTGGGCTTCACTGTTCTCAAAATTTTGTTCGACCTCTCTACAGACTTCTTCGTTGAGCGGAAAGCATGATGAACTCGACTTTGAATTTCTTGGCAACGAAGCTGGCAAGCCGTACGTCTTGCAGACTAATGTATACTCGTCAGGAGTTGGCGACCGTGAACAGCGTATTAGGCTTTGGTTTGATCCTACGGAAGATTTTCATACATACGAGATCCACTGGAACAAAGAGATTGTCATGTGAGCAGATACGAGATGGCTTGCCAGAAAATGGTTTTATATTCTTCAGTTCCGTGGATTGCTCTCTCCTCTTGATTTGTGTATGGCTGGTTTAAGTTCAAGAAGCTGTTCCCGGTGTTTGTAGAACTGTGTTGGGAATCATTATCTCACACTGATTATTCGCGTGTTTGAACAGCTTCATGGTGGACGATACACCGATCAGAATTTTTAAGAACAATGAAGATCTGGGAGTTCCATATCCTTCACAGCAGGCTATGAGCGTCTTTGCAAGTTTGTGGAATGGGGAAGACTGGGCAACTCAAAATGGAGCCATCAAGTTAAACTGGGAGAAGGCACCCTTTGTAAGGATTCGATCCCTCTGTATCTGCATTCTTTCTTTTTGTTCGGGGTTTGCTTGAACCTTCTCATTTCATTATTCTGAGATTGGATTACAATTAGTTTTTGTGGACGTAACCTGCGTCAGAGTAGGTGCAAATTTGTGTCTTAATCTTCGTGTATTGAACAGGTGGCTTCTTATAGAGGATATGAAGTCGAAGGATGTGAAGTACCTTGGTACGAAGGAAATGTGACTTATTGCATGACATCACCTGATATGGATGTTATGCTTAGAAGAGCTACTATCCATACTTTGACAACCAGACAGCAAGCTCGGCTGCAATGGGTGACAGAAAACCTTCAGGTTTATGATTACTGCAAAGATTTTGTCAGGTACCCAACTCAGGGCCCAGAGTGTAGCCGGAACTCGGGGCTCCAAATCATTGGCCCGCTTCCACTGAAGTACTTAAATGGGTTGCAGGCCCTTGGGGAATCCAGGGCTTCTGAATAGTTTGGATCATTGAATGTACATTACTAAACTACGCGAGAGAACTTGATTTGAAATTCAGTGCAGATTTTAGGAAGTGGCCATTCTCAAGAATATTAGCTTTGTACTAGAATAAATTGTAGAGCCGCTAGACACGAGTAATTGGAACTCAAACGATGATCCTGAAACTCATGCGTACTAGATAAATGCTGCTGAAGTTTTTGTAGATGGAAGGCTGACAATCAGATTTTTCTCAGCAGCACTTAACGACTTGATAGCTTACAGGTTTGAATCAGCCTGCATCATTTTAATCATACTCATTCAACTGTAAGGGAAACTTTGATCTAATGAATTGATCTATTTATATTTTGACTTTACTGACATTCCGATAATAATCTTTGAAAGATTGATAAACACGCTTCGACGACGAGACTACTATTTCTCACGCTGAACCACCTGTTGTCCTAACTTCATGTCCAAAAACCTTGATGTTATTACTTCATCCTGCAGGTTAATTCAGTTCACGCTTTCGGCAAGCTACACCCCTTTCAGCAAGGGTGCAATAGTGAACTATTAGTCATTTTTGCAGTAAATATTCAGTGCATGCACATCGGTTTCGGGTAGGCTGGAGACTCTGTAATAAAAGCCTTTTTTGGGAAATTGAAGCTCCTCTGAAACTTGTGTTTTCTTTGCGTGTGCCATGTATATTGAAACTTTCATAATCAATTACAGAAATAAAACAGGTCGAAAATTTTACGCATGTTCTATATCTATTAGACGGGAGATCTTCTGTTCTATTGGGCGAGAACTAAACTACTATGGACTGCAACGACGGTCCTTCAATCGTTTGTCCGGCTCATAAGTGGCTTTGTTACAACTGGATATGCAATTGGATATGTACATCAGTCCTCACACATATTCCTGTGTACCAGCAATGTAGAGCGTTACAATTGGATTCGCATTAGGTCACGCAGATGATGCTTTCGCTGTGAAACCTAACAAAATGCGAACGTCAGAGAATGAAGCTTTGTAATAATTTTAGCATGATGCACAGATTGCGGCGTAATACTCGTTCCGAGTGAGATGGTAGGCCGCATGTTACAAGGTACTAATGGATGTACTGTAGCTGGGAGTGTGGGCACCATGGTCAGCAAACAATGATGTGGTCCTATACCCTTCGAGGAACACACAATAAAAATGTGAAAGGGTTGAAGAGAGATGAAAGGGAAGGGGAGGGACAAAATGTGGAGCCTCGCTATGTCTCGCGACACATTGACAAACTCTGAAGAAAACACGGCGCCATACTCTTCCTCCAAAACTCCTCCCGCCACTCCCCCGAAGTCGTCTCTACGAACAAGACTGGGGAACACTCGTGAGATACGAGAGGCCAGGGAATTGGTTAAGCCACTAAACCTTGGAGAAGACATAGACATGAGAAAGGGGCGATCGGAGCGAAATGCAAAACTGAGTAAGAAGAAAATAGGCAAGGAGAAAGCAGATTGTGTTGCAAAGCAGGGGATGACTCCAAACCCAAAGATCCGATACAAGACCTCAAAATCCTACAAGTCTGGTGAAGAGAAATGTTTCTCTAGTGAAGTCATTCGCAACGGATACCAGCCCACCAGAATCACTAAGAGAATTTCTGCGCAAGTAAATGCCCAAGACGGAAGAGAATGCGAAGCTGTCAGGCCAGAGTGTTGAGCAAGTGTGTGTACAATCGCAATTTCAAAGCTCAGAGGACGAAGAGGACGAGTCTCATGTTAGGCAATGGAGGTGTGAGCCCTCAACAAGCGAAACGCGGAAGATGACGAAGCAAAGAGAAACTGGAGGTGATGAAAACGCTACATAGTTTGATGAGTTAGGGGAGGTGATAGCGACGATGCACAAGCAGCACCTGGTGAACACGCTCAGCGTGGCCGAGAACCTCGATCACCACACCAACAGATTTATATGCTTGCGAAAGCGAACTCTTCTCTAGCGGATCAGGTGGATAGCATGCAGGAGACCAACAAACTCCACACCAGCATGTTGAACCCTAAACTCTGAAACCTGCTTTCATGCATGACTCTTGACTTGGTCGGTGATGTGAACATGAGAACTGATTACCAGTATCTATTTTTGAAAAAAATGCTAACAAAACTAAGAATGATCTTTGACTTGTTTTTATGTGCACTAACTAACAACAAAGCCATATGAAAGCTTTTTAACAACCACAAGTCTTGCGATCTAAACATTTATAATTACATCACATTATTACATGAATATTTTTTTATATGAACTAGCTATATTCTACTTGGATATAAAATACCTAATCAGCTAATATAATAGTTTATAATTTCGTATTCAAGTTAAGAAATAAATATAAACACACACATTATTTTTGACATTAAATACAAGTAGAAATTTACAATTGCTTTTGATTGTCTTGTATAATTATTCAGAAATCACTTATACTACATATACATTATGTATAATAATATCAGCAACTTCCAACTCATCACATTTAGTCAAAAAATGTATCTGAACACATTAATTTATACTCATTCATCGAACGGTAATATGCGGGTGGAATGGGCAAGGTGGGTGGGTGCCGTCGATCAGCAATTAGGGTCGTCCATCCATGCTTCCAAGAATACATCCACCTATCAAATCCATCCACCCATTAAATTCATCCATCCATCCTGGACGGAGAAGGCATTGGCAGTTATGGGACGACAGGGTTGGGGGGGGGGGGGGGGGGCAGAGAGGGCTCTGGAGATTGCTGCCATTGCCATTACTGTGCTGATTGATTGTCTTCGTCTTGCTCTGCTCTGCTCTGTTCTGCTCTGCTCTGAGCTTGGCTTCGTTATGTCGAGTCTTCCCCATCCTGCCCCAGCTCAGGCGCCGGAGCCCGCTGGCTCTCCCAAGTTCTGTCTTCAGTATGAAAAATTGCAGTCGTCCAGCTTTGTCACGTCCGCCGTTGTGGCCAGATTCACTGATGTCCTGGTTCCCCAGCTCGTAGTCTTCAAAGAGGTTGTGGTCTCATTCCCTCGGGCAGGTCATTCTTGTTTTGTATATATATAATGTTTTGTACTTTGTTTTGGTAATTATGGCCAGTTGTACACACTCTGCTCGCAAGATTCTTTGAAGTTTGCGTGAGGACTGCCTCAATTAGCATTCGATTGATATCTCCTCCATAGCTCTAGTGCAAGACATATGGTCCTGTTACTCGAATCAATGTGTGCAATTCTCGATAATGCTCAGTGAGTGTGCCTGTTTCGTGTCTCAGAGCTTGCGAAACATACTTTTCGATGTATGAAAGCTCCCTCATAGTATGGAGAATGATTTTGTGGTTGAGCAGGTGACCATGGAGGTATGGGAGGTTGAGGAGACTCGACAGTCAAAGGTGTTCAGTACAGTGCTTGAGAGACCAGTCACTCATTGCTGTGTGCTTGAAACTTCGAAAGTCATCGCCACCTTTCAAGGAGCGCCTTCGGCATTTTTGCATCTTGATCTCCTCCTGGTGATTATTTTTTTCAATACCAAGAATACTGATCAGTGTAGAGATAGTCGTTCTTGATCTTTCCTACATGCGTACTCTAGTGTTGGACACTAATGGTTTTACGGCACCTGCAGTGGACCTAAGCCTAAAAATCCAAGAATGCCACTGCTGAGGATGACTACAGCTCTTCGATCAAATTGTTTGGACTGTGGCAGGTGACTGATGGTCTGGGAGCATTCACAATCTGTCAATGGAATGAGATTTTGTTAGAGGTGCAAGAATCAGGGCGAGCAAACGTTCAATTCAGTTCCGAACTTCAATCAGCATCCGCAGTATTGCCAAGTACACCTCTGTTCTCTTGTCCATTGTATCTTCCTAGAAGAGCATCCTGGGAAAGGAGGCCTTTGGCTAGCGAAGCACAGATTGACACAACAGAGGCCAATGATTGTTGTCTTGGTCGTGAGGTGAGAACCCTGAAGTTTCCGCTTGTTCAGATAACAGTGCACCTCATTTCTCACTTTCTCTCCTATTTTTCTAGTGTCTGTCACGCAGCAAAGCTAAGATTCCAGAAATAAAATAAAATGCTCCAGTTATTTGTGATTTTTTATGCTATTTCTATCTTTCCTCATGATGAAATTCAGGGATTCGAGCTTTGGTTTGGGCTATTAGGAGGAGTTTTTCTCGTGTCGATATCAAATTCCTAACCACTAACGATTTCGCTGGATAAATTCGCTGGATAAATAAGTGTAGGATTGTTCTATTTAACACTACTGCTAACAGGACCGTGCCTCATTCTAGGTTGCAGGAATTGCTGTTATAGCCGTGAGCTTATATCAGGGCTTGCTTGGAATATTACATGTGGAGTGGACTTCAACTTATCCAAATTTCCGGAAGGAGCTCTCAGTTTTGCCTTCAAAACCAAGTCTGGCACCGGAAATCAACCTCCACTTTCTTCCTGTGCCGATGGAAAACGCCATTCACGGTCCCATGGTTGCATTTGTTAACCCTTGCGTCGTCCGAGACCTAGCCTTTTTAGGTTCGGATGAAGGAGCTGGCTATGGAGCTTGGGATGTCAAGAATCGCTTACTTCTGTTGTTATTAACTTCTGAACAGGGCAGTCATATCAACAACTCACCTTTCTTAGGTTTCTGTTTCAAGCTTTTAGATGTAATAATTGCTGTATATTGATGAAAAATCAGCTGCAATCGATGATAGAAGCTCGTGGCATGATTCGTTCCGCAGGCTTGTTTTATCACAGTCTGCGGTTGCAGTGCATGGCTCTGAATCTATCCCCCTTTCAGCTTCGACCTGGTCCGTGGGAGATCAGGTACACTGTGCAGAAAAGCGCAGAGTCTGAATGAAGCAGGTGAATTGAAGTTTCTCATTCGTCAGTATCTTAGAGAAGATTCTAAAGAATAAGCTTCTTTCGTTTATTTATTTATTTATTTATTTGTTTATGTTTTTTTGAGCTTCTCTGCATAAAGTTCGGATCAAACCAAGTTGACCTTCAAAATCATTCCGATTCCTACTGTCTTTAATATCAGGAATTTGAATCCCAGCACATCGCTCATAGTGCCCTGGTCTTTTGTGGGGAATCTTGAAGATTTTGTTGGATCCAAGAGTAACTACGTAGAGACGGGCTTTAATCCTGGAGCCGGGGTTCTGGCGATATCCAGCGCTGGTGTGATGTTTGTTGAAGCCAGTGGACGAAGAGCTTTGTTACCTCTACACCTGGATGGATTTCCAACTTGCTGGACTAGACTTCCTCAAAACTGCTTGGTAATGTTACTATTACTCAAACCCCGGCTTACTAGTTCATCATGGGAATGCATTCTTTTGAGTGGGTTAATTGTTGTGTGATAGATTTCAAAATCCTTAGGTTGATGTTTTGAGCACCAAGATCGAACCATACATTATGTTAGAAAGGTACTGTCCAATACCTACATGAGGAGTCGTGGAGTTTCACGTGAAAATATAGGATGCCTACTTGATATTTTATCTCACATGAATTGAAGGTACTAGGCGATGCCACTGGGGCACTCAACGTATTTGACCTCAGAAGCTGGGCTCCTAATATAATTTCTAAAATTGTTCTAAATACTCCGCTGGCTCCTATAAGAGTACGACTGCCTTACCTTTCTGCTACGTTCTCTGAGCTGTATTTGGACAGAAGGTTTTAATGCACATGCTGCGCAATTAAGAGATTTATAAATTCTTCTAGTTTCCTTGGAATAAAATGATTCTTCACAATCATGTGATTTTAATGAGACATTTATATGATTCTACACGTTAGATATTAGCTGCTAAGGATCAGCTCTTTGCAATTGGTGAGAGTACAGAGCGATTAAGCGCTAACTCTTGGTATTTAATGAAGCATCTGGTTGATATTGGTGCCAGTTGCTACTGCGTGTGTTGAGCATAAAAGCTTCCGGTACACAGTGTTCCTATGATAGTATTATTTTCGTTACTGGTCAGGCCGGAGATTCACAGTTGGTAAAAGTAATCCGCACCTCTGGAGGTACTCAATGCTATCCACGATCTAGCAACCATAAATATGTTACTTTGTGACAGTTGCTTATTAACGGAAGCTTACCTTATAGTTTGTTCACTGAACTTTGTACTTCGTGGATTGATCAACGAACAATTTAAGAAAGGTGGTGTTTCGCAGTGGTTGACATTTGGGTCCCTGCATGGATGCAGAACCAACCGAAGGTTTTCCTTTGAAGTGCGGAGGTGAATGGTCTGGGAAGAATTTGGTGGTTGAGTCGAGTGCATTTTTAGATAGTCTTGCCCCTGTAAGAGATGTCATCTTTATTAAAGAGGCAATTCATTGTCCAGACCCATTTCTTCTCTTAGCATGTGGAAGTGCGCCATCATCTACGGTACGCAAGTGAGTAATTCTTATTGCGGTGCTCGAGTTTAAGGGTTATGAGGTTTCATGCGCAGCAAGAAGCTTACTGAATTTCTGAAGTAGCTGGGAAATTATCAACGATGATGCAGGGGGAGTCTCATGTCAACCTATCACGTTGACACCATTATAGAAGCTAATGTAAGGAACTCCTCGTGCGTCATGAGCTGTATGTGCTACTCAATTGTCTCTCCCAAAGACCAAACTCGTACATAACCTGTATTTTGATATTTTCCGGGCTTGTGTTGTCAGTGAGGCTGACCATATGAAGTACTCTTCTTTTGAAACTGGCAGTTGCGCGGACTGCCTCAGCTGATACCTTTTCATGAAATTTGGGGATTAGAGTTTCACACACACATATTGGTTTCATATCCAATTGCAGTAAGTTAACGAACCATTAAAAATTATATTCAAAGACTGTCCGCAGCTGTACGTGTTCCGCTAAATCGGTGGCTTCTCTAAATTTATCACTAATTCAAACTTTTCCAGTACAGAAAGAAGTATAAGTTTACAGAAAAGCAGTTGTGAGTATATGATTCTTCGATTTGCATTACCTAGTTAGAATCTACAAATGAAGAGGTGCCAATCTGGAATTGAAGCTAGGCCCATTCTCAAACTGTGCCCAAACAGCATGTGAGTGAGGTAGTGACGATCAACGGCACCAAGACTGAAGACCACTTTATGGAGGGACTGGAGCGAAGTAGATGCACATTGGCATTTTCAATTATGCCAGGTGGTTGGTTCATCCAGGTACAAAAGTCTTGACAGCTTCAAAGAAAGTCTTGAAAAGATGAAATTTTAAATATTTTCGTTGTTCCTTGATTGATTTTTTCTCTTGTCAGATTACGGAAAGATCTCTTAGAGTTCTGGGAAACGATTCTAATTCAAGTAAATTGCGAGCCGAGTGGAAACTCCCTTTCCCAGCTTCTGATTCACAACGTGATCTCAGATATTCTGGAATGATTAATCACGCTGTTCTTACAGCTGAGGGAGCCTTACTGGTGAGTGGAGAGGCTGTTCACAGTGTGCAAACAGATTGCTTTGGATTGCCGCACACTACCGCTATTTCGAACAGACCCCATCAGGTATAAAGTTTCATTGTCTTCATGTATCTTCTTGGGTCAATTGATCTAAGATAAGTTCCGGTTGGAATCCAATTCGAAGGACATCAAGTTTTTATTTTATTTTGGTTTAAATTGATCGATGCAGGTGTCGGCGCTTGGGTTGTGTCATGTAGGAGATTCTTCCTCTCACACATTCGATGATGAGCTTGTGGTGATTATTGCACAATGGACTTCCAACACAGTTCATTTACTCTCATGGCCAAGCCTGGTAGGTTCACTTTCATCGTTTCCCTCTTCCTTGTCATGCGTTAAAAAGACACAGAAGCTTGTGATTTTTGGTGCAGATTTATAAGGCAGATATGTCATAGAACAAATATGCCTCTTTTTCATGAAATGCCACGTCTTTATGCTTGAACGTTATTGAGAACATGTAGGATCTTTCTTTGCGATCATGAAATGAATGTTGTGAAATCAGTAGGTAATCACTTCAAAACTGTTTCTTTCACCTTTGCATCCTTTTTATGGAATTCTAGATATGAACATGGTTTTCACAGGAGGAGATCGTTACAATGGACGCTTGGACAGCGCCAGTTCTCTCAGTTACAGTGGGACGCCTTGCGATGAAAAATTATCTTTTCGCCGGTACTGCAAATGGTAACCTTTTGTACTACACACTCTCGTGCTCGAAGGAAAGCTCAAACGCAGGAGCGAATTTGGAAGTTCCCAAATTGGAAATTCCCTCTCCAACTGTGGACGTAGATGTAGGACAGAGTCAGAGAACGCCTAGGAGGATAAGAAATATGGGTATGATTTCTTCAAATCTAGAGGCGTCTAGTTTGCCTAAGGAAGGCGTGCCGTTTATGCTGCCTCAATATACGCTTCGAAATGGACGAGTCCTTAGAGTAGGCTCAAGCATAACCTACATGAAGTTTGGGTGCTTCTATGGTAGAGGAGAGGGAGGTGTGCTCAACCCTGAGAAATCAAATTCAGAGAGTAACGACGAGAGCCTATATATCTGGAGTGAACGGAGTTTAGTACTGCTTCCGCAAGAAGATTTTCGGGTTGTAGTTTTGCAATGCCAGTCTCAACCTGTTCCAAAATCAACAAGGTATTTCGTCAGTCCTTTGCGGATATTATTTCCTTTTCATATAAAAGAAGTTAATTTAACTGAATATAATTATGTTAGGCGAATCTAGTTTTCGAATCCCCTTCATAAGTCCTCAAGATATTCCTGACGTATTCTAAAACTTTTTTTTTTCTTGCCAGTAGTCTCGAGATGGGCGAGTTTGCATCATAATTATAACATGATTTACATTTCCTTATCAATTAAATTGTACTAGGGATCATACTTGAGCATTTGTTCAGTCAGTCAACCAACCACAGGCCTAACGTGCAGAGTGCACACAAGGGAGAACCCACACAGTCTTGTAGCAGTAACCTCAGACGGGAAAATATTATGTGGGCACCTGGATTCCTCTTCCAAGTTGGGGTAAATATGGCTTACGCATCCCAACATTACTCTCTTGTATCACGATTTTTCATTCTTTGTGTATATTCTGAATCTCATTTCTACAAATTTATGTGCGCACCACTTGTATTGGTAACCCTTAAGCATTATATGCAGATGGCAAGTGTTGAAGGTAGAGGGCAATGCAGTCCAGCTAGCTCATCATAGAAGCAGTGGCTGCATTGTATTTACTACAATTGTGAGCACCATATAATTTTTTGTCTCTTTCAGTTCTTTCAGTAAATTCGTTCATTTCTCCTAATAAAGTAGTCCTTTTTGCGAAGGTTCTCGAAGGTTCAGAGGAGTTCCGTCTTATTGGATGACGAAAGCAAACCTTCAATATCTGAGGTTTTAGGTTTTTAGAAACATTTCGAAATTTATTTTTTTGTTTTAAATTTTTTTTGTTGTTTCTGTATGTTCCCCTTATTAAAAATCATTTCAACTACAGCTGAAGCTGTTGTTTAACCAGTCTTAGATTTGTTTCATTAGACATGCTTTGATTACATAGTATTTCTGTTGACTTCAGGACGGCGTTTCATCATATCTTAATTTTGTGCACGAGGTGTCGATGCTACAAGTAAATGTTTCTTGCCGTCACCTTTCAGTAGCCTGGCCTTGTTCCCTTTGCCTCATAGTTCTCATAGTTCAGGTTGTGATTCTCTGAGAACGGCTACAACTAAGTACTCAGAACTGGCTACATGAGTAATTTTAGTGCATAAGATCTACAGTCTAGTTGCCACAAGTATTTCTTGAAGTGGAAATACTATACATCCGGTTTTGTACGTAATCATTGATACTTATCACTAATGGTGGTTTGCTTTCCATGCTTTGGAAGTTGTTGATGGTGGAGTTGGAGTGCAATCACCTCCCAAATGTGCTGACTACTTTGAAGATGCCTTATACCATATGCAGCCAGGTAATGTTTACATTTTCCCTATTCCTGATTAATCTTACTTGAATAGCTTTGAAGCTCTTGAATTTCAGGTTAATCACTTTAGGTTGTGCAAGACGGTTATAGCATTCTGATAAAGCTCCAGAGTGAAACTTAACCAGGATGCAAAATCAGTGGAATGCTTGGTAGTTTCAATACAGACGTTGGATGAGCAGAAAATAAATGGTCTCCTTTCTTTCTTTGACGTTCATGTCAATTATACTGGTAAGATCTTATCTCTCACTCAGAATATCCTCAGAATATGTTGTTTTAGTCTTTAGATTTGAGTTGGGTATGTATAATTTTTTCTGCTATTTGTATGCTTTTGATGTGTTGCAAATCGTCGAAGATCTTGCAACCTACAACTCCAGCGATGCAATCAAACTGATGCAATTAAAGCGGAGGTATTTAGGTTTGGAGGTTAAATATGAACTGCGATTGTTGGGCTCGCACCATATGGAAGAACCTTGTCATTCTTTATGCATGGTGGATCCTTTTAGCGAGACTTTTCTCCCCTGCTCCTGCACCATGTGTAGTTTGAAAACATTGCCTGTTGATGATTCCTGGTTACGAGACGTGTTGCAATGTCTGGAGCATGCAAGCAAACACTGGAGCCAGTGTTGCGGGTATACCGACTGCCGATCCATCTTTCTATTTGTCTGATGCTTGTTCAAGTCGTACGATTCTAAGTAATCAAGATCGTTAATGTGCACAGCAAAAGTAATTCTGCGAACAACTCACTTTTGACCACCCATATTGGATTGACGCCACATCGTATGACTGAATTTCTCAAAAAAATCAATTCTGAGCCCATGTGTTCACCATACTTTCTGGATTGTCTCCTGTGCTCGATTACAGTGACCAAAGCAGTGACCCTGGTGGACTTCAGAAGAGTGCAGATGGGTCTAGAGGGCCTTTGCTGGCTTTGGGTTTTCATGGAAAGGTTGAGCTTGTCTACGCTTTTGTCGGAGCCTCTGAGGCATGCATGCTAGTAGTGCCTCGTGTCGCAGCCACTTTGGACGCACCCTTCCTACCTTCTCCTGGTATACTTGCATTCCTTACTTCTCATGGTATACTTGTATCTTAAATTGTGGATGTTCATGTTGTGTAAACGTCTTCTCGCTCGTTTGCTTACCAAGAAGGCTGAATTATGGACTACTCTTTAGTAAGAACCAGGTTTGCACCCTCAACTCACCCCTTTGTGGAACACAAATAGGAACACATAAAGAGTTTGACAGGATGATTGATAGTTCGGACGATACAGAGGAGAGATCACCAAAAAGCAAGCAAGAAGTTCAAAAAGCTCTCTCAATGCATTGTGAGTTAGCCAGCTCATGGGCCTCCAGTTCCCGAATCAATATACAGAAGTTGGAGTCCTTTGCCACTCCAGGGGAAAGCTGCGTCACCGCTTTGATTCCATTATCCAAAGGAACCATACTGGTACTCTCTCCTTCTCGCTCTCGCTGTCTGTCTGTTTGTCTAAGACATGTAAGCAGGGGTTGTTAATTCATGCATAGCAATGGTCGGTGGTTTCTACAATTGTCATGAAGAAATGGCAATGCTGGCATCTACCTCTTTTCTGGGGCAAATGATGCAGCGTGCAGAACAATTGAGTGTTAGACTCGTTTGATTAATCGTCTTATTAATTGTTTGCCATGTTGGTAACATAAAGCAAGTGTAACACTCAAGATTGAACTTTTGCATTCAATACACACATGTCCAAATTATTAAAGAATTTCGTTCAAACAGGTGGCAGAGAAGCTACAGGGTCTAAGTGTGTTTGAAATACTTGCTGATGGTTCGGAAATCGTGCAACTCTCTTGGCAACCCTGTGCTTACCCTCTGAAAGCTGTGATTCCTTTGTAAGTCTCAATTAACGATTGAAAAGGCTTAAAATAGAACTTAATGAAGGCAACTGTCATGAAAATGTATCACACCATGTGCTCACGACACGTCTTTTATGTAGCTCAACACGTATGGAAGAAGTGCATAGTACTATCCACAATCTTATCACTCTTTTTGCTATAAGCTATGTTTGTGTGAAGTCTAATACGCCTTGGTAACCAATCCTGCAGCTCTTTAAACATACCCCATCTACCCCCGCCCCCTGGGACACTACTTCTACAATCACTATCCTCAATCAACGATTGCAATTCACGGCGTAGCTGGATGGGGACTGTCAAACATAACCCCGTCACTCTTACAAACTGTATTTTTCTAACAAGTTCAAACATCCCTTCGGTGTGGTTCAACTCAGGTCTGATGACTTATATATGTTGTCAATGCATGGAATCGGATGTCAACTGATGGAGCGTGACTACCCAGCAGAAGCAGCATACTTGGTACTCCATGTTTCAATTACACTACATGGTCCTTTTTCATCGAGATTTAAGAACAAGAGTATTTTGTAGATATTGCAATACCTTTCACTGCATAGGATAGGTATAACAATTCTTACAGAGTTGAGAATGCATATGCAGTGAAAGGTTATAATCAATTCACCTATAGAATTGAGAATTAATGTATTGTTGATTATCAGAGGTGCTTGTGATGTGTGTCATGCTTATCAAGCGATCATGGATGTGTTGTACAGGTCCAAGAGAGATTGCGCAGGGACTTGGAGAATGAGCTGCTGAGTACGTCAGAACAAGTTCACGACGGAACACCACAGAGTACCAGATTGTTGGAACTGCAGCGCTATTTAGTTACTGGGTTACCTCGTCTCAAGCATGTTACTCCGGCTTCTTGGACATCTCCAGGTATCACAATAGCCCACAAACTGGTCAAGCCCGAGTATGATTACCTATTACTTTAGAAGTGCTTGGATTTTTCTCCGCGAATTAGAAATAAAGTAAATTTCACTTCAAAATCTTTGCTCAAGTTACACACAAAAGTGACACAATTCTTTGATATCGTCTACACAGGTAAATGTCGAAAAGACCTTTTAATTTGCTTAAGATCAGATTTTACATGCAAAACATTAAAATTTAACTCCTATTCACAAAAGAAAAATGAACTATTTTTAGAAAATAAAATTATAATGATTGATATTCAATTTTTTTTAATAAGGATACGAAAGGATGTAATCAGATGTAAATTTAGTTTATTCTTTTTATTCCCTTCATTTTGCGTACATTTTAAATCATTTAAAAAAATTAAAATAACATATAGTAGGGATATTTCACCAAGGATTCTAAATTGGAGCTTTACCAGGCAACAAAATCCTTTTTATTTCAATTTAGTCAAAGTTTCTTGTAGTGAAGACTTGTACTTTTCAAAAGTGACTATAGAATCTTATCATCTTAATATAAAAGATATATGCCAAAAAATTCAAATGATGGTTTCTATTGGCTGAAGAATTTCATATGTTCTAGTAACGGTGAAATTTCTTTCTTCACTGCAAACTTTCTGTGGTGTTTGCAATGTCTGATGCAGCTTGCTACTTATCTTGTGGATCGCTGAGCCTTGAAAGCATCCCACTTCCAAGGATGGAGACCATAAGTACAATGGTTCAAACAATAGCCACAGTTACAGCAACTGGAGAGGTCTTACTCATTCTTACACAATCCATGGCAACAGAATGTTTTAAATGAATGAGAACCTCTTATATTTAATTACGTAGTTGAAGTTGGAATTACTTTTCGTTTGTTGCTTTCAGTGATTTCTGCATAAATCCAAGTTGGCTTTTGCGCAATAGTAAAGTCTCCTGTACAGTAAGATTGAGACTCAGGCAAATGGCCTTGCTTGGATTGATTTCTTGGTGGACTATCTCCTCTCATGGGATATCTTCTGGTCTATTTTTAGCTGCAGGTTGGAGTTATCACAGTATCCAAGATTTCTCCGTCAAGATGCTCTTCATGGAACTCATGATTGAACAAGCATCGACCTTGGTTGAAAGCATTGTTCCCTGGCCCAGGGTTGAAAAATGCCCATCACATTCCATCATACGACCTGTGTCAAGAGTGGAGTGCAACTGTAGCCTACTGTCAAATAAGGATTTTTCTTCTTAATTGTTATTCCTAACAAATTGATTATTAAACTCTAATTTTCCATTTTTACTTCATTTGTTTACTTTATTGTTTTAAATACTAGGATTTAAGATTTTAACAAGATTTATGATTACTTTAGTCTTATTTCTATATATATATATATTTTTCCTTACCACAAGACTTGTGGTGCAAATATTATTATTGTTGATAATGTTCGTTGTATATAACATTTAATATTACTTACATGTATTATAATTTAATTTATAAAAGTAAGTTATAAAAATTATTTTGTAAGTTTTTATTGGTATTAAAATAAATATGAAAAGAAGAAAGTAAAAATTTTGATGCATTTAAAAATTATAAAATTATAATATACATATTATAATAAAAAAATCTAAAGAGTTTTCAATTATTAAAATTTTAATGTTTTAAAAAGAACTTCTTATATAAATTAATATTTTCTTATTTATACTATCTTTTAACATAAAACCTCATATATTTCTCTTTTTTCTTAGTTTCATTTTTTATTATTTTTTTCTATTTTTTAAATATAAAAAATAATTTTAGTTTCTCCTTTATCATATATATCTACATCTTTCTTAAATTTTTATTTTATTATATATATATATATATATATATATATCAATAATGGTGTAGTTTTTGAAGTAATAAGTGTAGGCTCCTATATAAATGAATGTATGTAGTCTAGCATATCTTTAATGTAATAAAAAAATAATATTAAAGCTTACTTTGCAATGATTTCTGAATGTAAAATATTATAAATTTATATTTCAGAAGAATATACTTTAAAAAAAATTAATACTTATAAAATCTATATTAATTCTTGTTCATTCATATAATCTAATTGTATATGCTTCAATTGAATCATATCTATTGAATTTTCTCTATATGCTTCAATTGAATCATATCTATTTAATTAAATGTAGTAATAGTTTTATTTACAACAATGTATATTACAAGCTCACATAGATTTTCAATCTTCTTACTCTTCATCATTACAAAAGCTTTTTGAGAAGCTTTTAAAACTTAGTCTTTTTCTATCAATTTATAAGCCACTAAGTCTAGAGCATCCAAAGGAATTAAGTTCTTCTACAAATGAAAAACATATCAAATAATAGTTAATGTTCTTATAGTTTTATTAAAAAATATGATACAAAGTGTCATAATGCTTACATTCTAGTATTCCATATCATTTTTTAATAATAAAATTTTGTCATTTTATAAAATATAAATATAAAAGTAATATTTTTTAAAGACACATATTGTATAAACAATCAAAATCTATAATCCATATATCTCAAAATTTGTCACTTTCTATGGTTATAATGAGATTATTTTTAAAATCTCAATATTAATTTTAAAAAGTAGCTTCTTAAAAAGATCAAGATTTATTTATCTTTTGATGTAATTTTGAATTTTTAGATTATTTTTTTATGTCCTAATTTTTTTATTTATAGCATTTAATCTTAAATTTATCAAATCAAGTTTTAGATTTTGATTTAGAATTTTTTTTAGTACGGCCTTTACTTATCATTTTGACTTTTATAAATAATAATTTAGATTGTGAAGCCTTTATTTAATTTATTTTATTTCATAGATAATAAAATAAATATTATTAAAAAAAAAAATTATATGCCTTTATATATGTTTAAAGGTGATTGATAGGTTAAAAATTTAGCCAATAAGTTGGCCACATATTACACATGTTGGCCACTTGTGATACAAGTTGAACATATGGTGCATATATTGGAAGCTTGTTTTACAAGTTAGACATGTGTTGTACAATCAGACACATGTTTGAGGTTTTATAGAATGTTGCTATATAGTTCCTAATTAGATAGTATATATAGAAGTAAGAATAAGGCTTTCTTCACTTTTGTCCACTTTCTTCTTGCTTCTAGTCTAATTTTAAGAATTTTTAATTTCTTAGTCTTTGGTAGTAGCTATTTTAGTTTTTTCTTGAATATATATATATATATATATATATATATATATTTTCTTCTTTCTTTGAAAAATGTCTCATTTATTTATTTATATTCTTTGAGTTCTTGTTCTTGAAAAATTACTAAGAATATACATATAATAATAGAAATTTGTCTTTTTTAATTAAAAATAGTTTATTAAATTTTTTAAAATTAACCAAAAGCATATTAAAATTTATAGATTATCCAGTTCTGAACTAATATTGTTCTTAGCATTTTTTTTGTTCTTGAGTCATCTCTTTTACTTATCTTGAAGGATATTAGACATCTTTTTTTCTATTATATTATTATAGCAAAGCTTATTAAAATAAAGAATGCAATGATATAAATACAAAAATGATTGAGGGAGTTAATTTTTATAATGCATCAATTCAATTAATATATATTTTATAATTTTAAAACATTGTAGTTGATATCAAGTATGATGATATTGCACTTATTTGCGAATTTTTCTATAGATTATACTATATAATAAAGAAATTGAATCAATTTACCAGATTCTCAAATATTGAGTCAATCAAATAAGTTTACTATGAAGTATAAGAATTAAATTTTTGATATTCAATCTGAGAGATGTACAAGTAGGCCTTAATGTTTCTACAATTCAATAGCAACATCAACATCTTTTCAATACATACATTCAAAAGCAGAAGACATGCAAATTGACCCTAGATGTTTTAAACTTCTTATTGAGCAAGAAAAGACTCACTTTTGTCAAAAAAGAATATATTTATATTATAAAGAATCTAAATACACTAATCAATATTATTCAAAAAAAAGAAATTCAACTACAACTTAAAGAGTATGGTTGTGAAAAAAGACAATGTATTGAAAAAAAAGATTGTATAATAATAATAAAAATTATGTAATTAGAATCTTATACAACAATTAATAAAGATTCTATTCTTTTTTTAAATCTTTTATTTTTTTATAATAACTATTTTTTTTAGGATTTAAAAACCACAAGTCTCTATCTTATTAGATTTAAAAGCAGCAACTTGTTTTTTAGATGAAGAATTTATTAAAGAAATATAAAATACCTTTGATTAAAAAAACTAAATTTTATATGTAGAAGTCATAGATGATTGTCTATTGTCTTTTGGAGATATTATTGTTGAAATTGTTTTTTATAGATATAGCAAAAAATATTCATTATAGCATTATAATATCAAAAAAAATTGAATAATAATATGTCAAGGACATGAATTAAAAGATGATGCATAAATTAATGAAATCCGTATGAAAGAAAGAGTGACAAAATAGAAATAAAGAAGTACATATATTAAAAAGAAACTGGAATGGCTTATTGCCAAAAGACAAGAATACCTGAGACTCTTGAAACTAGACTAGAAGCAAGAAAAGAGTTGACAAGAGTAAAGAAGGCTTCACTCTTATCTCTATATATACTATCTAACTAGGGGCTATGTGGCAATATTCTATAGGACCTCCAATATATATTGACTTTATATAACATATTCCTTGACTTACAAGGTAAGTTTTTCTATATGTGGGCCACATAGTTAGCTTGGTCTTTAAGCTAACAACATGTGTGGTACATGGCTAATTTGTTGACCATGTTGCTAACTCAAAAAAATAATTAAAGATACCTATAAAATCAAAGAAACGTCTATAAAGCTTTTAGGAAGCTTCCATAGAAAATATTATAGAATTAATTTATTTTTACCTATTTTTACTTACTTCTACCTATTTATACAAGTAATTATTGGCTTACATGTGTATGTCCATGATATTACCTGCCCTTCTAGGGACGAGTTCCACGAGGAGCAGTCATCATATATTGAGGAAATTTATAATGTGACATATTGTATTTACCACATACTCAGATCTTTGTTCTTTTCGAAGATGGTTGATAGGGCCTCTCAACCATCGAGAGTGTCCCATATAAGGGCTAGAAGACTACCTTGTTATTTGATTGTTGTTGAGGCCTTCATAACTTCTTTCAAATAAAATATTTGGAAGACCATCAAGAGTTATTCCTACCTCTAATAAAATTACCAAACATTGGGAGTCTCTTCCAAGGTCGTGATACCAAGCGCATTGTATCTCGCCATCTATTTGAGGAAAAATATGTCATTCTTGAAGTTCTTCATTTTGATTGCATTGTCTTGAAGATTGTGACAATCGCAATGTTTCATCTGGCAAGTCAAGAAACAAAGGTTCTTCAGTCAAATTCACTTGTTCTTGGTTCTTTATCTCCTTTACAACACAACTACAAAGAAGTTATAAATAAGGATTGAAAGTAGAATGTTATCTTATCTAGATCTTATTTCTTTTATTGGAAAAAGTCTTTATCTTGATTTTGATGGATGTCGTGAATAAAAAGCCTCCATTGCCTTTATTGCATTTACAAGATTCTTTATTAGCTCACATATATATTCACTAATATCATATTCATGCCAATAGATAAGATATTCTAATTTATTTCCGTGTCGCCTTGAATCTAGGTTCAAGAAGAGATACATGAAATACTAGATGGATTTTCATTGACTCTGATAGGTATAAATAATATGTAACTGGATTGATTTGTATAAAAATAGAAAATGGTACAAGTCTACGATAGTCCAACTTGTCACAAGGATAAGTGGTATTGATATTGCGATGAAGTAACTATACTTTGTCACCTACATAGACTGGTGGTTGTTCCTTTCAATAAACATTGACATTGATCTTTTATTGTTCTTGAGCTTTTTTTAATTGTGCCTTTATTATTGCATGTAACTGTGACAAATGATTTGCCACATCTTCTACTGCAGGACTATCAGCTTTTGAAAAGTCAAAAATATCAAATCGTGGATGATAATCATAATTAGTAAAGAAAGATGTTTGTTTTGTAGAAAAATATATCATACTATTATAAACAAACTCTACCAATAATAAAAGAATTTTTCAATCATCTTGTTAGTAGATGATGGTACATCTTAAATACTACTCCAAAACTTGATTAACACACTCTGTTTGTCCATCAATTTGAGGATGGAATGCCGAAGTTAGTTTTATATCTACTTTTAGAATCTTAAAAAGAGTCCGCCAAAATCTTGATACAAACTGAGTTCTCCTATCTGATATAATATCCTTAGATATTCCATGATAGCGATAGATGTTGTCAAGAAAGAGCTTAGTTGTTTCTTCACATGTGATAGATTTTGTACATAGTACAAAATGTGCCATC